GCAAACACAATTAATTTCGCATTATTCTTTGCCAGTATGCACTGAGCACCAAATTGCCCGTTATGCCGTGCCCCCCTTCCGTCTCGTCCCACATAAGATTGTGCCTCCCCGGGCCGTGCTGCGCGCGCGTGCCTCGGCGCCCTGCCGTCGTCACAGCGGGCCCGGCACCTCCTTCAGATCTTCCACATCGACTTCGGCCACTTTCTGGGCCACTTCAAGAAGAAGTTCGGCATCAGCCGCGAGCGCGTGCCGTTCGTGCTGACGGAACGACTTCTTGCGTGTGATCGCGCGCGGCGCCGACAACCCCAAGAAGAGCAAGGCCTTCCAGGAGTAAGTGTCGCGGGGCCCGGCGCCGCCCCGGTGACTTGGTGACCGCGACCTGTTGCGGGGACCGGCAGCGGGAGAGCCTGTGCTGGATGGCGTACGTGTGTTTGTGTGCGTGCGCGCGTGTAAGTGCGTGACGGAACGAGAGCGTGTGACTGCGGTATCGTTATCACCAGGTGGCGCGCTGGGGTCCGATGCCGGTCGTGTGGTCGTCAAATCCCTATTGAGTAAACCCCAGAGCACGCCGGCTTCCCCCAAGCCCCAACAGATGTCGCGCGAGCTGCGCGTTGCCCTGCGGCGGCGGCGGCCGGTGGTGACTGTGCTGTGGCCGACAGTTTCCAGAAGCTGTGTGGCAAGGCGTACCTGGCGCTCCGCAAGCACAGTCACCTCTTCATCACGCTCTTCACCATGATGCTGTCCACGGGCATCACCGAGCTACAGGTGCGGCTGTGAACCGCTCCCGCGCCGGTATCCGAAGGTTGCCTCTGTTAACGGTTATTTAGGAGTCGTTTGTTGTAAAGTTTTGAGTATTGCAGTTTGGTGCAAATTTGTGACCGTTTTTGGACGAGGGGGCCAGGCTGCGCGTGTTAATGATAGGCTGCTGTATTATTCATCTATGTATCACCTGTAATACATTTTTGCGTGCCGGCCATCAAATCTGAAGTGTAGATTCAATTTGGGATTGTTGAAGTGGGTAATTCAGCCGTGCCAATTCAGCAATTTGTGGGTTGCGCCATTTAGAAATCCGGGAAGATTGTAATTTGGCAGGGACCACATGCTGTCTGGGTTTGCCAACGGCCTGAAGACATGGTTAGGGAAGTTTGTTTCTGTCATCAGGGAATGCTTATAAATGACTGCTCCGGCGTCCTGCCATGTAGAAGACCCTGCGTCTGTGCGGATCCCGGTCAGGAAACCCCATGTCCATATATGTATATATATATATATATATATATTATATATATTATATACCAGAAGTCTATATCGGTCTGGAGGCCCCTGCCTGTACTGATCCCGGTCAGTTGGTCCCGTGTCTGTACTGATCCCGGTTAAGGAGGTCCCGTGTCTGTACTGATCCGGTTAGGAGGTCCCGTGTCTGTACTTATTCCGCTCAGTTATCTCGTCAGGGGCCACCGTGTCTACTGATCTACTGGTCAATGACTTGGTGCTGTCAGCTCCGGATTACCACTCAGAGACCGATGCTGGCGGCATGTCTCTGCGATGTCAGCACTGTGTCCCTCATCTCCTCGCCTTCGATGACGCTGCCGCTGCGTCTCATCATCATCCCCGGCTGTTGATATCACACCGCGCGCGTCATCCTATCTGTTTTGCGGCATTCGTGGGGAGAGTACGCACCGGCCCGCCCGTCGTCCATGCTGGCTGATACCTTCGCCGAGTCTGAAGTCGCTGCTCTGATGCCACTACCGGGTTTGTCTTTCCCCGGCACACGAACAGCCGGGGTCGGGCATTCCATGACCTACCCATGTGCCGTGAAAGCGTACATGAACTCTGATCTCAGAAATACTTGGCCGTAAAAGTGTGTTCGCCCTGCCCATTTTGGGGACGTTCCCGCGTCCCCGGTCATACCCGACCTGTCCGCGTGGCCACCGTGTGCGTCTCACTGTCACCGCCGCCGCCGCCAGTGCGCCGACGACGTCAACTACCCTCCGGAAGACGCTGCAGGTGGAGGTGGGCGAGGAGCAGGCGCTCGAGTACTTCCAGAACCAGTTCAGCGAGGCGTACGGCGGCGCGTGGACCACCAAGCTCGACTGGTTCTTCCACTCGGTGAAGCACATGTAGCGCGTCGGCCGCGTGGACGGTGTGCCTTCCGGCGGCGGCCCCCGCTCTCCGGCCGGGAGCGTGCCGGCGTGCATTTAGCAATACGGCGTACGCGCTCGCGGCGGCGCGGCCGCCCTCGCCGCCGGCGCTATTTATTGGTAGCTGCGGCGGATAGTCATGGCAGCGTGCGAGTCGGGAGCGAGTGCGCGCGCGAGAGAGAACCCGAGAGAAGAGCGCGCGAGCGAGTCCGAGAGAGCGCGTTCGACTGTTGGAGCAGGAGCGAGCGCGCGTGGCGGTCGTTTTAGGGCCGCGGTCGGGCGGTCTGCCGCGCGCCGGTCCGTGGGGACGGCGCGCCGGCCGGCTCGCCTTCGGCGGTCGTCTGTTTTACCGTGTATTGGGGGCCGCCGGCGCCGTTCGGTCGGGTCGGGCGGCGCCCTCGTGCGCGCGCGCGCTGGGCGGCGTCATCACTCCACTGGCGCTGGTGCGCCCAGCCTCTCACAGTGCAAACGGGCCGGCCGGCCCGCGCGGTCGGCCCGCCGAATACATTGTAGTGCCGGACCGGCGGTGTGTGACTGCTGGGAGGCGGCGGCGCGGCGCCGAGCGACGCGCCTCTGGTGACGGCCGGCCGGGACTGAGCGGCCAGCCAGCCGTCGGCTGCCGTCGGCGGACCTACGCACACAGAGACACGCACGAGGCGCAGCGGGATGATGCGGCCACGGCCACGTGAGCTTGGGTCACAGCGGTCACGATGCGCTTGGGGATTGCACTGCCATTGAGCTCTCCTGGAGGGCATGGATCTTGTCGTAACGCTGCTGAGGTAGGGCCCGTGTTTGCAGTTGGAATAAGACCACTGCTTGTAATCGAATGGTCGAAAGTCGGCGCCGCCACTGGATGAAAATCAGTGTCATCAAGTATCGCACTCGTGCTCATTCGCTGGGCTAACCCCAAATTCCCGAAAGGCTTCGGACGACGTTTGTTTCTGGTGACGATCGTACGTGATGACCCTGGTGGCGTGGATTGTGTTTGTGCTCTCTAGACCGCAGCTGGGCGCGTGCCGGCAACACGCAGCCGGGCGGTGTAGCGTCCCACGCCAGCGCGGGTCACGCATGAGGCCACGAGTGTCGTGACCCCAGCGAACACTCGGCGTTGCCCTGCGGGCGCGGCTCTGACGCCGTGACGCGTCGGCCGTGTTCGTCGATGCTAATGGGACAAGCCGTCCGGCCTCTGACGCCAGCCGTCCGGTCTCTGACACGGCACGTCAGTCGGCACAGCGGGAGCCGTCCGGGTTGTTTTGTCTTGCGTTGTCCCGGCGGTCGGCAGCGCACAAAGCGCCGGCCTGGGGAGGCGCCGCCGCTGCGCGCAGCTCGCGCCTGCGCACTGTAGCGTCGCTTCACACCGTTGATTCTTACTAAGCACGTATTTTGTGATGATTAGGAGTATCTTTTCATTACTATTACTATTATTTTAATTTTCTTGACCAACTGGTTAAAACGTCGGGATTTTGTCAAGATGCCTGTGATCGATTCCCGCCCAAGGGAACTTTCGCTAGCCACGGTTGCCATCTGAGCCCGGCGATGGAGATGACCCAAAAGCCTGCCTGCCTTTATAGCTGTTGACCAAACAGTTTGTTCTGCTGCGGCACCCTGCCAGCCGTTCCTCTGACGACAAACGCTGAAGAGAAGCCGGACAGGCCGCGCCTTGACGGGTCCGGTGACCGGGACGGCAGCTGTCCTCCGAGTCTGGGCGACTGCACGTCGAGGCAGGACGCAGATGTACCGAGGTCACCCCTACCCCGCTGACGGGGCGCTGGGGACGGCCGTGTAACCTCAACATTGCTATTCTGCGCAGTCCATTCTGGCCTTGTTTCCTATCCGAAGTTAAATAGTTTGTTTCATCTTCAGCACATTGCGACGTTTGTTTCATTTCGGTGGTGGCCAGCCCGGCGCTCGGCGACACGTTTCAGGTCCGCAGTATCGTATTCACCTAAACGGTGAGTCAGGACACTTTATGGCGTCCCTCGCCGGGCTGAAACCGCCGCCGATGGCCGTGCCTTAACAATGCATGGCGTTGCCTAAGCCACGGAGCTATAACCATTCCCCTGTGTACACTTGCGCCCGCAGATCCCTTTATTGATATGGTGCCATTCTGAACTTGCACCACGCCGCCAATGTCTTCACTAGTGCTGAGAACCGCGAACCGAAGACAGTGAGGCGGCTTCGTGTCTAGATACGCACGTTTGAATGGCTCAGGCCCGACGAGTTATAAGCGGTGTTTACATCAGTTGAATTTTTTGCTACATATCAAGGTGCGCATTCCTGGGCACATTATGGAGAGGCTGGAATGATGACGAAGGGCATTATAGGGCGCGTCGGCTACTGAGGCCATTTTGCGCTCTCGACAGGGGCTGGAATGGATGCGGATTGTGTGGTATCTGTTTTTGATTGAGTGGGGGCGAACCGGTGCTGGCGGGGCGGTGGACGCTGACAGGGATAGAGTTGGATTGGAGGGGGGAGAAGAGAATTTACCTCGTTTGTTCACACGTCACCCCGCATTCGGTTACCGGACATTTTGTCCAGGTATGGGTCACCCCTTGAGTAAACCCTTCCCCTCCTCCCTCACCACGTAGCTCCGCCGGCCTTCCATTCAGGTGTGAACTCGCACTTGGCCGTCTTAACCAAGACACATACCAAGGGTGATCTGGAGACCGTCGAGGCATCTAATCCATGCCTCGGGGACGTCTCTCCCGTATGTGCAGCTTATGCTCTGCCCCCAAAACAGACCCGAAACTTGACATAGCACAAGAAAGCCGCGATGTTACCAAAAAGCATTCTGCGAAACACGCAACATAGCACGGCACGCGCGAAACTCAACCCATGAGCAGTGAGCAGTGGGCAGTTGCGCTAACCATGGGGACCGACCTCCGTCGAGGTGGAGAGATCCACGGGCGCGTCACCGACGTCGGCCACATTCGTAACGTCAATCTCCTCGTCCGACTCCTCGCGACTCGCGGTGGCGCCCGCTCTCCGCTCCGGCGACGCCCCTAGTGGCGGCCGGCTGTAACTCGCAGTTTGCGGCACGCCCGCCGGAGGGCTCTGCCCGAGGCCGGCGCCGAGCCGCCAGCGCAGCAGCGCCACCGGATCGAAGACGGGCGCGCCGAGCAGCGGCGGACACGGCGCGGCCGGCAGCAGCCCCAGCTCCAGCCCCGGCTTGGGGAAGAGCACGGACGACGCCAGCTCCAGCCCCGGCTTGTGGAACAGCGCCGGCCGTCGGAGCAGCTGGAGCTCGCCGGCAAGACACGGCGGCAGCCAGGGCCTCGCGAACGGCAACCCGCTCCAGCTCCGGGAACGGCGCTCGCTCCAGCTCCGGGAAGCACATCGGGAACCTGGGGAGCGCGCCCAAATAGATGACGGCCGGCGCCAGACGCTGCACTTTCCAGCTGTTTTATTGTTGACCGACAGGCGCAGAATCGGTTCGAACAGGATGTTCACATCTCAGTAGAGAATCATCCCCGACTCTCCGTCTATGACCTAGCAAGCACGAGAAACTGCATCCAGGTGCCAATTTGCACCGTTTCTTAGCTTCACAAGTGCAGACTTGTTTCAGCGTATCACGAACCATGCGCAGCGATCACATGGCTACGGGTTCCCATGGTTACGAGTTCAAACAAACACAGTATAGGGAAAGCCGTGTACTGGTTTTGAGAGCCCCGGAGTTGAGGGAACCATAGGACAATGGTCGCACTTGAACTGTGATTAGTTACGGTATGTTGTGGGCTAGAAAATGTGCCTCATGTATTCAATATCGTAAACCGGACGACTAGTTCAGCGCGGCCACGAGAACATTCTGAAAGCTGTAGCAATTCTTACACAGCTGAAAAAGGGGATGCTTCTGCCCCCCTCTGTGCGAGCATCCATCGCCCAAAACGCTACTTGTCACAGTTTTTGCCCCTATTCGTGTTCCAGATCGGTACGCGGACCCTGCCCAGCCGCGTCCATTTACCTGGGCTCGCTTCTTCCGCTTGTGGCGGTGAGTTTCGGCCGCCTCCGGGGCTTGTACTTGTAGTCGGGGTGCTCCTTCATGTGCAACGCTCTGCAACAGAACAACAGTCCAAAATGTCCACGGACGCCCGAGCGGATGATGCTGTAACACTTCATGCTAATGGTAACGTGCAAGTCAACGGAAAGACACTGCGTCGGAAGAAAGCTTTTGCTTCCAATGCGATGCAGTATTCTTTTGCATTTGTCGCCGCGGTTGTCGGCCCTAGTTGGAGGGGTACAGACAAAAAGACATTCAAAATACAGCTGTTGCCGCAAAGCACAGATGAATATCACATAAGTCTGGCTGCTGCTTGTTGTTGCATAAGATAACTTCACAAATTTTCAAACGTCAGCTTTCATCGTCTATAAAAAACGGTCACTCATCGTCGCTACCGGTTTCGGTAGCGAATACCTCGCACTGGGTGCAGGTTCTCGATGCTATTACTAATCGTACGGAATTCGGTGCAGTCTGCCGCCACCACTAGACGTTCCTGGACCCCGGTCTTTGTCGATGCTCAGGTTTCGCCCAAACCGAACTGTCGGGTGACGTCACTGGCCTCTAGGATTCATCCAGACCGCGGCCAATGAGGTGGATCTACTCAGTCAATCATGCAACTGATTGCAATGCGTCAATCCGCTGCGTTCAACTGGTCAAACAATCGGCGCCGCCAGCTCCAATGATAGTGAAGCTGGAATGTACACAAACAAGGCCTGCGCGATGATAAAAGTCAGCCTCAGCACTTCTCGATCACAAATCTGGCCGCCTGATGTTCAAATGCTGTCCGAGACGCGCAGGTCTTCGTAGTTTGTGCCGAGTGCCTCTCGGCCTCGTACGCTGCCGACGGTGCTTTGGTCAAAGACGGACCTCCCGCGCTGGCGCCAGCGGTCGCTTTCTGACGCTAAACTTTAACTCGGCCACCGGGCACTCCTCCGACCCAGGTCTCCAATAACGCCAGCGGGCACTCCCTGACCTTGGTCCAATAACGCCATCGGGCACTCCCTGACCTTGGTCCAATAACGCCACCGGGTGCTCCCTGACCCGGGGCTCTAATGACGCCACTGGGTGTTTTTGGGCCTTGGTGTTCGCCTCGGCGGTTTATCTTACGGGACCTTCCCATGTACTAATGTAAAGCCTTCTAGCATTAGAACAAAATATCGGAATGAACCTACCAAAATGCCCAGACAAAATATCCGAATATACCTAAACGATTATTGAGATATCAAAACCAAACAAAATGCTTAGACTTACTTCGATGCCATCTGACCTAATAGTACTTATCTCCGTCATAACTTCGCTCGTCCCACACCGCGCAAGACGTCTCTTGGGCTTGTGCCGTACAGTTGCAACAGGCACAAATGGCTTTTCCGACCCAAAGGTCCATCTCACCACGCTTGACTGTTACACAAAGCATTAGCCGGCAACAGTTCACCTCCCGCTCCGCGGCAAACAAGTCAAACAAAATCAGAGTCAGATGTCAGCTGTGTGTGGTGGTATCAAAACAGGGCTCACACCCTCAAATACCGCTTGGTAAACAGACGTCAATCCAAGGCGCACTGTGAATGACGTAATGACAACAGGCCTTACGGCACAACACAGGTTGGCGTTACGAAATTTGGAACTTAATAACTGGGTGATATCATATATAAGACTCTTAGAGACATCTTGTTTTAGCGAGCTCAATCGTCACTGGAACGCTATCTCTGCGGGGATGCTTATTGCATGGAAGGTTGAGGAGAAAATAATCAGCTATCCGAGATTGTTTGCTGTCCAAAGGGTCAAACCACACAATGTAAGCACGGTTCACGCCACGTCGGCGCCAGAGAAACCCACATCTGGATAAATGTGTGGTATCATCCTTTGTATAAAGATCACGCGTCGAAACCCAGCTCAGATCCCGACGAGCGGTACGGGCGGTACGAGCGGACGAACGGTACAAACGGACGAGCGGTACGAGCCGTATGAGCGGTACGAGCGGACGAACGGTACGAGCAGGACGAGCGGTTCGTGCGGCGCGAGCAGTACGAGCGGACGAGCGGACGAGCGGTTCGTGCGGCACTAGTGGGATAAGAGGTACGAGCGGCACAAGCGGTACAAGCGGCACGAGCGGCACAAGCGGTACGAGCGGCACGAGCGGACGAGCGGCACGAGTGGACGAGCGGTACGAGCGGTATGAGCGGTCCGTGCAGACGGGCGTTACAAGCGGTACGAGCGGTTCGTGCGGCACGAGCGGCACAAGCGGCAAGAGCGGACGAGCGGTACGAGCGGACACATGTACTTGAGCGTAAACCTCGAGCGGGCTGGACGATTCCAACTGCGTGAACAATTCTCGAAAAGGGATCAACATTTTGCGAGAAAAGTGCCGAAATCCGCAAAATCTATAAACTCGCTAGTTCAAGTGAATCTTAACAGTCGCAGTCGAACCTCAGCAAACGGAAAATAGAGGCGCGCGACCAAGAGTATGGTGTGCGTGAATGAACTATGTGCAAAACTTCGCACTGATAAACAAACAAAAAACGTCCGACGCAGCAACACCGGTAATCGGTCGGGAAACGGCTGACGTCGGTTTTTCCGGATCTGTTCTCAATTATCTCACGCTGAGGCTTAAATTGAAAAATATTTGTTGGTGAACACCGTGCAGAGGTGCATCCTATTTCACTGAGGGCAATCTCCACCCAAAAGTACACGCTTTTAACAACACCGGCTGGGACATAACTAGACAGATTTCATGCAAATTATTTTGTAAATTTGCAGGGAAAAAAAGAAAATTGCCATTTTCTTATTAACTCCTACCTGCTAGACTCACTGAAAAGGGATATTCTGATGCATTGATAACGATCTTTTACACGGGCTACCACAGGCACCTGGTTCTAGTTGCCGATGTTTTCGTACCCGTTCATTCCACGAAGCAAAGGTTGTCTTAAAATCACCGGCATACGTAATTTATTGCACGCAAACGCGAGAGGATCAAGCTTTTTATCTTAGTGTTTACAAACAGGTAGCAGAGTAAACCACAATTGTTGGTCGCACATGCAACGAGCACTGAAAATATAACTGTGGCACAATTCAGGGTACTAGATTAGATTATAACAAGAGCCTGCTTCGGGTCTGCACGACAGCAATGGGGGTAACTCCCTGCAAATCAGGTCATCGAGTCGGAGACGACACAGAACACGACTCAGCCACAAGTGGGCAAAGATATGTGGGCTATCGAATTTGCTGCACCTGCAACACTTCGGTTGACTTAAGATAACGTGAGTGGCTCTTATGGACAGTGCATTACTGGTAAGTGACGAAGCTGAAGTCAATTATTTGAAGTGTGCAAATAATTGGGCCATTGATTAAACAGGTTTGTAATGTTGCTTCAGTTTTAACTACCGAAATCATATCAAAACATTGCCAGCGAATGCCAAGGCAAACCAACATGCTAGAGAAACGACAGGTTGGATTACGTGCAAAAAAATGACTCAAAACAATTCTCACTAATGTTCCGTAATTAATCCAATGTGTTGCGAAACATTTTTCGCGGAAGATAGCTCTACGGTAGAGAGCATTATACTTCTGCTCCACCCCGTAGCTCAGTCGGTTGGAGTGCCTGCCTTCCCCTCGAACTGTTGCGTGGTGGGTGGGCTCGACTCACTCCGGCACTCGCTCTCTACGCCTGGCTGGCCTGGCCTGCGGCCGGTGGCAGCGCCAGCTCAAGGCCAGATGAGGTCAGATGAGGTCAGAGGACGGGGCGGACCGCGCCGAGCGCCGTGGCACGCTGAGCTGAGCTGAGCTCGCACGACAAGCACTGTCAAGCGTGAGCCCTGACCCCAGAAGTCCAAACAGCCAAAACGTTCGCGATCATTTGATAAAATAATGATAGATGTGAGTCAAATGGTGTATAACGGGGTGGAGTAATTGACTACCCAAGTGTGATCAAATTGTTGTCTGGCTGTGTGGTAAAGGCATCCAGCATGTTTGAAGTAGCGCGACCATGTCGTCATTGTTGTTGTCATTGTGACTTTACGACGTACGCAGCTGCTGAGGCTCTGTGGCATCGCCTTCCTCTCACCCTGGCAGGAAGGGCGGGCAGTGCGGGGAGTCGAGCCCCGTACCTCTGGTTCCCAGACGCGCAGTCGTCAACGCAGACGCGTTAACCACTACACTACCGGCACCCCTATCTAGAACATGAATTTGTTCGCTGCCGAAACGCATTCCGCTGAATGTGTCCTTTTTGCTACTGATCCATTCTCTGCATATTAATTGGCAGGTAAACTGGACAAAGCCATGGGAAACTTAACTCGGAATCAGCCACCTTTGCACTAAAATGCACTACGCGACATATTTAGTTTTGTACGGTGTTCAGAAGTTCACAGTTATCATCCGCCCCTGCCAGGCAGCTGATGCTTCGACACTTGCGACCGGTTTGCTTATAATGCTGAGCTGCAGTTTGTATTGTGATTTCGACTACAAGCGAATTTCGATAAAATACAATTCACGTGAAGAATAAATTAATTTCGGCTACTTTGACTGTGTTTTTCAATGGCTGCAAACCAGCGCAAAGTTCCCTATTTTCGACGCGTCAAAGTACCGAAGTGGGCTCACAACCCCCATAGGGTTTTGATAGCAGCCATTCTCGCGCTAGCATGATAAAACTGGGGCAAATTTGGTACCAAATCTGGACTGCACAGCTGGAATAGATGCGAGCAAGCCCATCAGGCGTGGTCCGGTCGATTGCCATGCCGAGATATTGTGCTACAGAAGCGTTTTTTTCGTCAGCAGTCATTCTGATAAACCGCGGGTTTATTTTAGTTTCATTACATTTAATGTATGAGCCCGCACATTCACCCGTACATTTACACCTGTATACCCATACATTTAATACATTGGCATCGTACATTTGATGTGTGGTACTAAATTACGTCCCTGTTTAACCCCACTGGCCTGAAAGACTTTCGCACGCTTCTGATGGCCGCAGGACCCACAATTTCAAACATTGGCATGAGGCCTATGGCCGTGCTTGGAAAAGGTGGTATCAAAGTCTCAGATGATTGTTAAAGCCCAGTCAT